GGTCGGGGCTGCCGAACGGGCCTGCGGGGCGCGGGTCTGGTTGCCGTGGGGAGATGGTCCCGCCGCCCTTTCCGATGGGCCCGTGGGGAGGCCGAGCAGGGGCAGGGCCCGGCGGGGACGCGGGGCAGCCATTCGCCGAGGGACCAAAATCCACGTCGCAAAAATAAGGGAAGGGGGGGAGGGGGAAGTAGTATTTCTTCCCCCCTAAGCGTGTTTTTTCCCTGCAGCCGGTGCTCTCCCCACAATATGCTTCAAATGCTAGGATGCGAAAACAACGATACATTTAATCTCTAACCCCCTCTAGGGAAGAGCTCCCAGCAGCAGGGCCCCGCGGATGCACATCTGCCTTCTGGGAAGGATTGAATGCAACTAAGCGTGATAGAGCAAAACAAAGCTCCTGTGAAAACAGAAGCCCATCACAGCACATCTCTTAAGAATAGCAGCAGGCTACTGCCAGGGAGGAGCTTATTGAGCAAAACTGAAAGAGACTGTTATAGAATTGACTGAAGCCTGAAGTACCCTGAAGAACACAGCTCAAGCATTGTGAAGAGATTTCAGTCCTCAACCCAAATTCAGCTTTCAAAAATAGATTGAAAATAGTTCATCTGGAAAATACATTTTCAAACCCTTATGGGTGTTGTTCAGCCATCAGCCTGCAGACTTTGGGAAACTAAGCATGAGAAGTCTCAGTGGCCACACAGGCTTATGAGCAAAAAGATCCTACACCTCTAGGATTACTTTGCTAAGCAGGTGTTGCAATTCTGATCCTTTACTTACCCACTTCCCTGAAAACCTTCACTAAACATAGGGTCACCCTTCCTAAGACAAATGAAAAGCAAACAACAAAATAGAAAACAAGTTTTATTGAATGAACAAAAGTCTAAAAGTCCCCCATTTTTAGATAACAAAAGCAGCGACCTACAAAACCCCTGCATTCCATGACAAATCTTTATGTCAAAAAAATTAATCCTTGAGCAGGTGTGAACATCTGTACGCAGAAAGTTACAATGGTTGATATGTGTTTGGGTAAACAACTGGACACATTTCAGATTAAGAAGGAAAAGGAAAAAAAAGGGAAGAAGAGACTGCACATGGACACCTGAAAAAGCTTAACTGCTTGCTGGCCAAGAGGTATATCATCAGGGCTGCCAGCAGCTTTGAGCACTTGCACCCCCTTCATACAAAATGAAAAGAGCAGCAGAAAAATGACAGAGGTTTAAAGACTGAAGGAGGAAAAGACCTGCCAACAGAACGCAGTGTTCAGCTGGCTCATTTGGCTCATGGTAAATGAAGCTTTTTTATGTTAAATTTCACAAGCTTGCATTCAGTGAGTCTGAGCTCTCAAGAGGCTCCAGAGTAAGAAATCAGCCACTGTGCCCACAATACGGAAACTCCACCACTGAACTTGCCCTCTGACAGGCAATTCCTCTCAGTCTAAAACAGGCATCCAGCTAAGCAAAAGGAAACTGAGACCTGCTTGACAAACTATATAACTGCCAGAAGTCTACTGGGATCTAAATGGAGAATGTACATTCACTTTGTAAATCTGACAAGGTTTTCTGACCTATGTGTTTTCTTCCCTTTTCACTGGACATGGGCAGCCTTAGTAAAATGGAGTGTTAAAAGGAAGGCAATGTTTACTTTTACCCTTACACCATTTCCAGAATAACTCTTTTTATAAAGTTATATCATAAATTTTCATGCTTTTGAATACTAAGTATTTTCAGTGAAGTCTTGTTTATTACATTGACTTAGTTCAATCTGATCTTTTGTTTTCACAAATCAGAACATAAGTACAATTATTTCAAAATAAGTGATTGATTTTCCTGTAATAGCAGATTTGATTGCAGAAGTACAATAATCTGTGCTTTTTTGTCAGTTTATACATTGCATCTCATCCATTGCAACCATATAATCAGATGTTTTCAATAATTGTGAAGCTGTATCTTATACCATAATTTCTATTCGTAGTTATTCTAGGACTAACAGATTCCTAATATGTCTTGATTAAAACTAACTTTGATATATCAGCTCTATTACTTAAAGTTAATTTTAATCATTTCCATCATAATCATGATAACTCTGATACCCACTGTTTCTCCTCTCACGAAGGTTAGATTTCTTCCACTTCTTGATGAAAGCCAGCACTGAAAGATCGACCCAGTCGTCCATGTTGTTTCTTAGAGATATTGTCTTCGCTCTCAGACTTGGAAATTCCTTGTCCTTGAGTTTGGGATTGTTTATCCTGCCTAACATTTCCAAATGGAAAATTCCAAGGACCAAACCTTTGCCAGGTAAGTCTCTGAAAGGCAATGATGCAATGAAGATTTCCTCCAACCTAATCAAAGTAAAAAGGTTTTTTTTGTTAAATGCATTTCTAACATACGTAGATAATTGAAATTAACATCTTGGTGAGCAAAATCATTATTTGAAAAAGAAAAAAACCAACCATCCAACCACAAACTCAGCTCAATCAATTTTGATTGTTTCCCAGATTCAATTACTGCCTTCTTTCTCATCTTTTTAAATTATCATTTTATATCTTTCACAGGCTAGTGTAACTTACAATCTGCCAGTCTTTTTTACTCTCCAGTCACTTTCACACAAATAATCTTTTCTGGCCCCTTCTCACCTTGCTGACAGTCTTCCACACATCTTCTTTGAAATAATCTCTTCAGCCTATTATTTCTCACAGACTTTCATTCTACAAATCAAAAATACACACCCCTCATCCTATCTACAGGGAAGCTAGCTGTATATATTGATAATAAGTCCACACAAGAGAGATGTGCATTGTTTTATGTTTACTTTTACTTGAGTCTACTTTCTTTCCTGCTTACCTGTAGCTAGAAGGTCATGCACCAAGAGGATCTGTCTAATTTGCAGAGTATTTAGATACTTGCTGCAGCTATATTTTAAGCCAATAAAGTTAAATATTGTGACCAAATACACTGTATGCACAGATATCCTGGTTCATCCTAGCAATTGCCAGTCTACTGCTGTATTGTATCTCAGCCTGCAAGTAAATATGACTCTGGTATGCAAGGAAGTTGTCTTCTGTGATCTCTGACCTTCCTTTGAGCTTATGTAGATATATGGAATGGAATATCTTTGGCCAATTTTGCTGTCTGTCTAACTCAGCCTCCTATGGGGGGGTCACAGATCTCCCCATAGTGTCTGAGCCAGCAGAGTGAAGGTGCGACCTTGAAGCCTCAGTAGTTAGAAACATTCCACTGTCTTATCAGCCTAGCAGAACACACTATAGCTAGTTAAAAGAAAGCTTACTGAAGGAAAAAAAAAAAAAAATCAGTAAAAAGAAAAATTGGCTTCATCCTGGCTCAAACCAGGACAACATGTGACTTCTGTCTTCAGCAACACTTGACAGCATATTTCTTTTAGTGAAGTTCCCTTACACTGCTGAGGTATAAATACCTTTGCCAAAAATATACCAGTTATTTCTTCCCATCTCAGTAACTTTACCTCACCTTCTTTGTTTTTCGATGCTGCAATCCTCTCTCCAGATGTCGAATATCTAGATATTCTGGATTTTGGGTGTTTAGGTCGGTGACAATATCTGCCCACCTACAGAATAAGATTATTACTACTCAGCTGACATTTATGAAACCTCAGCACCACTACTACATGCAAATACAGATCTGCAACTTTAAATAGTCTCACCAGCAATGTGAAGATAAACAAATGTGTAAAGATAAAAAAGCCTCAGTATTACAGACATCAAGCTAGATATAAAAGCATCACTTTTCATCAAAGCATTCACAATGTTAATTCCTACTCTTTGGAAACACCGTTCAAAATGAGCAAGAACACCTTGAGTCTTTAGCTGCATTGCTTACCCTTATCAATTCATCAGTTTCACAAAAGCAGCAGCAAAGTACAATTTAGGCAAAGGGAAACATTAGGTTTTACTTTATTTAATCCTCTCTTACCCTTTTCACAGAATCATCACAGAATCCTAGGGGTTGGAAGAGACCCTGAAAGATCATCTAGTTCAACCTCCCTGCCAGAGCAGGATCACCTACAGCACATCACACAGGAACGCATCCAGGCAGGTTCTGAATGTCTCCAGTGAAGGAGACTCCACAACCTCTCTGGGCAGCCTGTTCCAGTGCTCTGTCACTCAGTTTTATATTAATGTCTGAACTCTTGTCTGTTTTTCTTGCCCACTAAATGTTTTCAGCAGACAACTCTCACATTCCATCTGTACCAAACTACCAATTCAGTACCCCTATAAGGTCTTGCCTTTTCTGTCAAAGTCTAATTACCTGCTTCTCTAACGCCACCCTCCAGGTTCAGAAAATCCATTTCTGCCCAAACCTTTGCCCTCCTACCTTAAGCACAGAACTTTCTGCTAGCTCTTATTGGGACTGCAGCAGGAGGAAGAAAGTCTCCACAATCAAAAACAGTGTTACCAAGGTTTGTATTCTACATTCAGAAACCTCTTCTTGTGCCATTTGTATCTTATATACAGGACAAAATTCCATCTGTGGGATGTATAGTATGCCATTTCTCTGCACAGCAACCTCATGCATAATGTGACTTATTTTCTTGCACTTAAATCTTATTAGTCCAAATTATTCAGCTAGTTACTGTTACTGACATAGTCACATCACTGAAATAATAAACAAAAAAGGTTATTTGGGTTTTAGGTACTGGGTTAGATCTGACTGGCTATGAAACCATTTGGATAAGCACTTTCGAACAATTTTTCAAAATAATTAGAGAACAAACAAGAGGAGACAAAGTAGGAATGGTGTGATTATTTTTTTTTAATTATTATTTTTATTACTTTTTTCCACAGATCTTTTCCTAATGTATCAAGAAAAATCACTGTAATGCACTTGGGGTGACAGAGAAGCTATTTGCTAGAACTTATGCTTTGGCTGTGGAACTGGTTTCTTAAGACATACTATTCTTTTGTATGGTACCTTCATTTCAGAAATTATTAGGCATTAAGAACTAGCATGTCAAGTAAAGCTGAGAAAACTGTTCCATTAATTTAGCATTACAAAATTAACCAGTGAATTTTCTACATTGCACCCTCTAGCTCACCTAGTCTGTACGTCTGCTTTAGACACCAACTTCATATGGGCGAGACCTCACCATAACTGTATTGCTTGAATGCATAGGTAAGCTAATAACACAGGGCGCAGGCTGTCCCTGCATCTGAGCTAGGAGATCCTGGTAGCAGCATTACATCCTGTGCACGTCCCAGGCGCAGCCTGTCTACATCCTCCACTGAAGAATAACCTCCAGGGTTTGTACAGCCTGCAAGTTGCAATTGGCACACTCACAGACAGCTGAGGTGTCTTTTCTTCTTGACTAACGTGAGCCGGGTCACACCCAAACCAGAGAAACATGCTTTGGCTTTTAGCAACCTACATGTGTTCTGCCATGAAATATAAAGTGGCAGAGGCAGCTTCGAGGTCAAAACCAAAGTTTCTCTCTAAAGCATTTGTTTCTCTTAGGACTATAATACAGACATTCAAAAGATCTAAAAACTCACTTGGTGACCCTTATTAGAGAAATACAAATGACTTTGAAAGAAAACATACTGGTTTATATTCTTACCAAGCAACATACCTTTTACAGTGTATTGTTGGATGTTTTCTGCTTGGTTCTCCAATTAAGATCCAATATTCCACTTCTTGCTGCAAGACACGACCTCTGTTCAATAGAAGATACAATCCTAGTAAGATTTATTGTGCATACTAAAAAGAAAAAGAAAGATTAACATTCTATTGTTCCTTTTAGGATTTTCAAACATTAAAAATTGTTTCCTCAGCCAAACTGAAAACCAGCTTCTCTTGTTATAAATAGTGTTTGCAATTGCATACAGGAAAACTTCTGAATTCACAAGGCCTCTAATCAAGATAGAAGCTTTTCCTTATGATTATTTGGGAAAAATACAGCGTTCCTCAGATGAAAGGCAGTCTACTGTAAGTTCAAAATATATACATAACAATAGAAATAAGAGTTGTGGAAAACCACACGAAGGTGGAACAAATGTCTTCCTCTTTATATCACAGATATCTAACAGACTCACAAAATAGCCCCTTCCACTAGTTTTAAACCATACCTCATCTGACAGTTATCACAAACAGCTGCAGGGTAACCTGTATGAAAACAACTGGCAACTTAAACTGCTTCCTCCCAAGCATCCAGTACCACATATTAAAAACCAAAACTATCAGGGAAAAATTTTAAGATCCATCAGGACAGACTGCTGAGATGCAGAGGACTGTTTTGTGACTTCCTGTGTACAATTATCCTGTGAAAAACTACTTCAGGTTCGACTGACAAAACCTGAGATTTTTTTGCCTAGGGAATTAGAATAGTGCCTTACTGCCTGAGATAATGTGTTTAATTTTAATTCCCTGGAAAATAACACTGTATGCCATCAGAGTACAGATGGGAAACCAAAACACAGGATAGATTAATTGACTTACCTAAAGTCACACTGGAAGTCTGTGGTTGAACTGGGAACTGAACCCAGGTCTCCCGAGTCCAAATCCAGCAACCTAAGATCATACAGGAAGTCTGTGGGTGACCTAAGAACTGTCTCCTAAACTCAGCCTAGCAACCTATCTACCCATTTCTTTTGGAATTTAAAAAAAGTTTCTTAGCTTGATTTTGAAAGAAAAGCTTGCCTTTGTAACGGACAAACAAGAACTGTTACAGAATCTATTGACAGTGCTTCTGGAACCTGAACATATTTTTTCCCAGTAAGATATAAGAAGATATGAAGACAACAGGCTGCTCTTCTGGTCTGACCTCCAGCCTAAAATAAGGCTACAGAAGCTCCCTGAAGTCATTACTTCATGTTACATTATTATAAAAGATCTGTTGTTAGGAAGAAAATCTAATACTGACTTATAAATAACATCACGAGTGACTGAGAATCCATTTCAACAACAGAAGAAGTATTGAAATTGTTGTTCTCCCTCTTCACCGAAGAACAGGAATTCAAACTCGGTATCAGGTAAGTCTCCACACACTGGACCATATTACTTCTCAAATTACATTTTTTATCTAGTAAACAACTTTATTTATTTTTTTTTTTCCTCTTTGCTCTTCCAGTGCAGATTCTTAAGAACTGATCAAGTAAGCCAGCTATTAATCTTTCTTAATCTTAAACAGACTGATGTGCTGGACGTGCACTTGGGGCACATTTTCCACACTCACACCACGTATCAGTAAAAGCAGTTTTAATAAAAATTGTCTGTATTGTACACTAAAAGCTTTAATTAACTTTTTTATCAGACTCACATTAGGCACAAATGAAATTCAGGTGATTATGCTTTATTGCCTCCAAACAATTACCATTTTGAACTCTAAAAGTAAAGCTAACATTTTCCACTCCTGGATATGACTCTACATTTTCAGCACAGCCAAATGTAGACCACTTGGTAAGCGAAGTTCAAGACTGAGGCTCACATTACACCAGTGACCTGCTCATGTCATTGTTTAGCATTCCCCATTACTGGCATCTGCCAGTTTTGGCAGGGATTGTCTTCTTATGCCCCATGGTAATACTAATAAATACTGACCAACAGTTGAACATTGAGAAAGTTCAAAAGAAACATCCAATATATATGGTGTTTTAAACTACTTTGAGAGAGGAAGGCCTGTTTAACTTAGTGACTCTGTGAGTGAGACAAAACAAACTGCACTCAGCATATTATACAACAGCAAGTTAAATGTTAAATAAGCTGAATTCCCTCAAGATTATGAAATTTTTCCAGCCTTACTTTGTTTTTAATGCAATGCTTGCCCTAAACTCAGTGTGAATATCAGTGCTATTATCCTCTTTTTAAATCTGTTTAATTTAAACATGTATCAACTATTCCATTCCTTTATCTTTAGTAATGTCACCCTAACAGATTTTAAATTATTCAAGTAATTGTGTATATTCTAAAACAACTGGCACATTAAGTTTCTACTGACATTTGAAAAGTGCTCCAGTACTCCAAGCGTTTTTTCAAAAAGCCTAACATACTTTGATAGTCTAGAGGTTTCTTTTAGCTTCTTTGCCCCCTCCAATTCTTGTTAACAAATTATTCAGACATCTTTACTTTTCTAAGTAGTTGCAGTTTATCATCATTATTAGATAACACTGGAAGCAAAGCGCATAAACACCATTCTGCAACACCTACAACATACCCCGATCTCCCCACACACAAAGACCAGTTTCTGTGCGTGCAGATTTTATCACGTCCACTTCATAATGGATTAGCATCACTGTAGGCTTTTTGTTTCTAGTTTATAAAGAAAAATTTCACAGACACGTCTTTTGTTTTCCCTCAAGTTCTCTGTGCACAGACTCTCCTCATGATTAGCTGACTCTTTACTGTTTTTCCTTAGAAAACACCTGGCTTTTTTCAGCCCATATGGTTTTATTTTTCAGACTGGTCATCTTCACTTGTTCTTCAAGTAAATAAATACCGTCTCTGTATCTGGCTAAAATGTCTTTAAACAATTTCTCAGTACCATCCATAGTTTTCTGTTTAAGTTCTCTCTACCTAGTCTGCTTAGTTGTGTTTAATTTTAAGTCAATCCTTTCAAATCACACAGTAGTGTGATTCATACTACTTCAGACAGAAATGCTTTTACAACATACACTGGAAAGTTATTTAGGGAGAAAAACGGTACCAACTTGCAGTAAATTTTTCTGTATGTTTCCTCCAGTAAAATAAGCATAAACACAGTATCTTACCTATAGGCTTTACTGGCTTTTACTGGGGTTGCTTCAAATCCAATTGGGCAAAAATAATGGTTTTGGCAATGGTAGATGTAGGCCATTGATTCATCTTTCAGTCCACGTGTTAGTTTTGCTAGCGCCCCTGCAGCTACAAAGAAAGATCAGGTTACAAGTGCAGATTGCCTAACATTCACCAAAAAGCACCTATTTGATAACATGAAATAGTTACACTGCTTCTCAAATTAGAGGACATGACCTGACAGGCATTCACAGAACAGTTTTGATTTCAAATTTCTTAGTATTTAATTTCCTGCCTGGTAGGAAAAAAAATAACATCTGCCACACAGTCCATATTAGGGAAATGCATGAAAGTCATATTAAAAAGTACTTGTTCTGAAACAAACAAACAAAAAAACACACAAAAAAAAAACCCTACCAAAGTATCTCAGTATCTATTAACCTAGGAAATACACACTGCAGCAGAATCCAAGTCAGATGTAGCCTATCCGTGGCACTACTGAAACCCCTGAAAGCTTTCAAACATTTTGGTATCATGAGCTTCTTTGAGCTTTCTAAACTCAGAAACACCTCCCACATTTGGGCATGCAGTATTTTGCAATGTGATCACAGTACTGGGTTTCAGGAAAAGACTAGAAAAGGCACTGAAATGTGACAGAATTCTTAAAAGGGGATAGCAAGAACAAAAAAAGTTACTTCACTTTAATCATCTCCTCCCCACCTCTTCAGCATGGTTTTATCCTTTTAAAGAACCTTCCATTGAGAAGATAACTCCCCAGCCTAGACCAAAGACTAACAAGCTACATCTGGAAGTATCATTTTTCTTAAAGTAGCACACTTAGAAGTAGACATAAAAATGCAGCTTCATAAGCTAATTGAGAAAAATCACCTCATGTTTGAGAGTGTTACTTAAAGTCAGGCAGAACAGATGAGTTCACCAACTTTAAAATTTCATTTTTTGATAGTGCAAAACATTTATTAAAGACATGGATACTTTTGTGCTGTACAATCTCATTTTTTTTATACAACACAGATTTCCAAAACACTGAAATAAAAATGTGCTGCTCCCCTAGTGTACTACAGCAAGCATCTGCCAGGACACTAGCACAGAACTGGAAGTGCAGTGTCCTCCTGGATACCTTAAAATTCCAGTCCTGTGATAACAGAATATATAGCACAGAACATTTTATCAAAATAAAAGTACAAATGAAATTTTAGCAAAATAACAAAAAAAGTAAAACCAGAAAAATCAGGCAACTTGGAGCTATATGATAACTTAAGTCAAACTGGAAGTACTTACAGAATTTGTTCAGTAAAATACTGCACATTGCAGGATTTTTCAGTTTATATACTGTAAAATGAATGCTTTAGGATAAGCTACGTACCAGTTTCTCCAGCTGTCTTGTTCTTCCCATGAGGTTTATACAGAACATATGAACATCCCTTGATATGGAAGTGATCATTTATTTGTCTAAACCATCTGAAACAATAAGCTTAAAGATTGTAGTAACTTAAGAGTTATTAAACACAATTTTTTTTCCCTCCTGTTTTTAGTCTGCTTGCTGATTTAGAAAACTCTTGGTGTGCTAACAAGTCCCTACCACAATAGCATGCAGATTGTAGATGACCATGGTACCCTAACCCAAACAAAGGTTAGATCACAAAGAGATAAATAAAATACTCAAAGCTTTTTCCTTCATTTTGCCTTTTTTTCAGACCAAACTTAGACCCATAAAAACCAAAGGGCCAGATTTGAAATGCTGGTCTTGTGTTCAGTGCAGTTACCTCCAAGTCTCAGTTATTCAGCCTTTAGAAAGACACTCAAATTCTGAAGTGCTTCAACTGTGATTTGTCAGCTACACAAAGTGAATCTTCCAAGACACCAGAAGGCAGGACCCTTCAAGTGAGACTTTCTGCATATCATGTTGGGCTTCTGTCACAGAAGCTTCACAATGCCCAAGTGTTACAGAAGTTGCCTACTGCAGCTCCTCACAGCAGCAGTGAGGACAGGTCTGCAAAGAAGATTTTAGTCTTAGATATTTTTCTACATCAGAAGATTCAAATTCACATCTCCAAAGATAACACGTCAATCATAAAGCTGTGTCGGGTGATGGGGTTGGCTCTTAGCCCTTCTATTTCCCAACCTGCTGAGCAGTTAAAAATTATTTGACGAGACAGAAAAAAAAACAGTAAGGGTAACTTTTCTACTGCACATAGGGCCCTTCAGGGGAAAACAAAGAATCTGGAGTTCAACTTTCATCTGTATAAACTGTGACATAAAGAGACAACATTTTATTAACTTGGTCTATAAGAGTTGCTATACCCTGACATACTCGTAAAAAGACACAAAATCTGAATGAGTGTCCTAAGGGAGAAAAGGAATTTTTCATGACACTTGTCAATGATCTAGCCAGTATGCTACCAATTAAGAACAGACTGCTGCAACATTTTCAAATCCAGCTCCCACATTCTGTGCCAAAACCTATATATTGCCTTCAAAAATACTAACTCAATCAAATGAAACAGGGAAGAATAATGCAAGTGCTCTCTGAGTCCTGCCTCACCCTTTTTTCTTCTCCTTTTCTTCTTCCTCCTCCTGATCAGCTCCATTGCAGCAAAGGTGTAGCACTCACTATCTCATTTTCATTTCTTAAGTTACTTTTTACATAAAGCAATTTGGCCTTTTCATGCCATTTCAGTGACATTAAGAAGCATTTAATGTGTATGCTCAAAAACAGACAAATGAGAGCAAATAAAAAATTTCTTACTCAGGAGACTGCATTCATTAAGAGTATTATCCAACAATTAAACAAACTCAGCCAAAATCCAATAGAATTTAATGTCCACCTGATCTGTGTAGCAATACTGCACTATACAAAACAGTTAGTGAAACATACTCTTTGAAAAGTTTCTGCAGGCACTCTCAGAGTACCTGGGTGTGCTTTATTATTCTAAAATTGAAGAGGACTACCTTGTGTCATCCACTACTTATTTAAAATTAACTACTACTGTATTTTCAAAGGTTCTTACTTTTATGTTGTTTTTGCAAACATTAATGATTTAACTGCATCAAAAGAACCAAACATACCTCATTAAAGTTGTATTTCCTGTGAAGGGACCAAATCTAATCTCCTCAAATGGGGGCTGAAAGCCCAGTATATGCAAAGCTTCTTCTTGAGTAATAGGAGGTAAACTGAAGGGGGGGGAGGGGAGAAAGGAAAAAATAAAATATTGTTTAATAAAGTAATTAGCAACATATTTTAGACTGTTTAGAGTCAAAGTGGTCTGTTTCTGACTTACCTTCCAGCTCCCAGTGTACTATACAAGAAATTCCAGCAAGACACTAAGGATGAAATTCCACAGGAAGTCTTGTATTGAGGTCGGCTAACACAATACCTAAACCGAACAGAAACAGATTAGTGAGCATTCTTGATTTAGTTACAAGAGCAATCTGAAGTGCTTTTCTGTGTGCCATGCCACTGAAGTGCCATGCTATATTAAATGTTTTTGTCTCCTGTATGTATAAAAAAAAAAAAAAGGAACCAATACTTTAAGCATTTTAAGTTTGTCAGATTCTACTACCTTACTTCATAGAAATCGGCCAGATTTCTAACAGCCCCATGGGAGTTCAGTACAAATTACCCTGTAGGAAAAATGGTTCTGTACTAATATAATTCAGTTTGATCCAGTCTCATCTAATATGTGAACTTGTTGTAAGCTGCATTTCTACCAATTTACTAATGGATGTCACTCCAGACTGCAGATTTCCTAGGCTAACTCCAACTTTCTGATGTTATAAATATACAGTAAGAACGTGACAGATTCATTACACTAAGTTATTTTAGTGAAATACATTCATATGAGATAGGTTGTACAGAACTGACAGATTTTGATCAAGTATTTCCTAGTCAAAATAAAAATCAGGACTAAGACATAGCAGTATTATGCTTAAGGTTACTTTTTGCCTGACCATGCTAATAAACTTGCATAATATTTTTTAGCAATGAATCCCCCACATAATTTTTTCCTTATTGAAGGAAAAAGAAATGTTTAGAAGGAAAATATTATTAGAATGTCAAGAGTGGGGAGGGAAGCTCTCATTCCTCCTGTAGAAAATAAGATATTTAGTTTATATTTGCTTAACATATCCCCATTTCTTACTTACAAGAGAGGACATGCAAGATATTCCATACAAGATATTACTAAGAAGTTTGAAATCAGAAAACCAGCAACATTGTTCACCAACAAACTGTATAGGGGATAACCTTAAACACAATTCATAAATACTACCATCTTCGGAGGTCCAACACTTTCCTTTCCTTCACGTCTTCAAGAGCAGAACGCTGAGGACACTCCCTGTATTGTTTGCTTTTTTTGTCTAGGGATTTTTTCTTTGTTGTTTGTTTCTTCATGTTGCCTGCAAAACAGAATTCAGAAAGAAATTCATGTCTTGTATATCTTCTTAAAGGTCTTCATACCTTTTATATCCTTCTTCTTAAATACTTTTAGTAGCAGCATACACCTCAAAGAGAGACGCTGGTTGTGTCGGTAAGTGCAAATTGGGACTAACCATTAATTATTGGAAAAACCTGAAATGCGTTATCAAGATTGTCAACAGGTTTGTAAAGCCATCAGCTCCATGAACAACACTGTGTTTTTCTGAAGAGAATTAATGATGACCTGCACAGCTGTTTAAGAAAGAGCAGTCAATCTGATTATTCTAATGCGTTAAATCAGACATCCCAGAAATAAGACTCTCTAACCGGCGACTTCCCATCTCCTCACATTAATGCAGAGAGAAATGAAAATAAACTTGTTTTCCATGACCAGTGATGAAAATTTACATGCAAATCCAGTGAGAATAATATACTTTCAAGGTCTTTTCCTTTATGTAAGACTCTGAGACAACGAAAAATTAAAAGAGTTGGGCCATGTAATAGAGCAGGAATATTTCTATCCCATTTTCACAGAATGGTAGGGGTTGGAGGAGACCTCTAGAGATCATCTAGTCTAACCTCCGTGCCAGGATCACCTAGAGTACATCACACAGGAACATGACCAGGTAGGTTTTGAATGTCTCCAGGGATGGAGACTCCACAACCTCCCTGCACAGCATGTTCCAGTGCTCTGTTACCCTCAGAGTAAAAGAGTATCTTCTCATGCATCCAAATGAAATACATCACCTGTATTTTAGCAAAACTTAACATCCTGTACAATTTGTTTCTTATTTTTAAAGATGCTACATGTACACATGAAAAGGCAATGACAATATGCTAACTGTGTTTAAGTTTTGTTAAACCAGTTTCACATCAGCAGACAAACCAAGAACTTGAGTAGCCAGCCAATGCATTAAGGAAAAAAATCTACAGCCAGCTCTGGACTTACACAAGGGATCACAGGACAAAGAAAACCAAGCCTCTATGTGAGTGCTTGATGCACAATTGCAATCTGTGACTAGGGAGAACATAGCAGGCAGGAAATAAGCCAATTTTACAGAAATGAGCTCCCTAATTCTGTACAGATACAGCAAATCAAAATAAATACAGTTCTGTTACAGAAACCAACTGCTCTCCTAGACAACTGTAATTATTTCACTTAATTCTTATAATAAATAAACCATATAATTTATTTCACAATACATCTCTGAAGTACCTTTAAAGATTTCTGCAAGTGACAAACCTTATAATTAAAAGCAGTAGCCACTGCACAATGTACTAGGTCCTACTAAAAGAAAGCAAAAAAAAATAAAAATAATTTCAAGTTAAAAAACAAGCCCAAACCAGAAGCCACCTGAAATACCAAAAGAAATCACACACATTTAAACACAAGCCAGCCTTGTTTTAGAGGCACTTCCCTAGGCAGCTACACCTGACTTCTCACTCACTCCTTTCCCAATGAGCAGGCTGTCTGAAATGACATACAGACTCTTCTCTAGCACTTTCTGGAGAAAACACCTGTTCTGACGAGCCCCCTCCACAAGCAACTTGTCAACATGAAGCCTCTTCCTATCGCAACATCAAATCTTCACCATCTTACCTGCTTTGTTCTTCAGATTTGTGGTCACGGCATTAAACTCTGATTTGTCGATTTCCCATGCCAGTGGGAGTTTTCCAAGATTGCCAGGCAAGCCTTCCAAGTTAGCATCTTCACTGTAGATTATCTCTGAAGCACCAGTTTGAATGCCTAGTAAGCTGGGTGTGTTATTTCCCACATTTAAGGCAGCATTGCCTGACAGACAGGCACTAACTGAAGCACTTGGGCTTTTACAAATAGATGTTACTCTGTTTAAAAAAGCATAGTCTGAGCAGATGGTGTAAAATTTCTCTCGTGTATGAGTCACAGGACATCCCCATGGGTAATGCCCATCTCCCCTAGACACTAAGGACACAGTGGAGGCATCTGACATGCAGCACGGCTTCACGGGATCAAGAAGAGAAGCTTCTGAGGATTCTTTCCCAGGTTTGTTTTCAGTGTTTCTATTATTTCCAGAACCATTCTCCTTTTCATCTTCTGCACCGTTAGGCATTGAATGATACTGAAAGAGTTGGGTGCAACTAAGAATGTTTTTCTGTTCTAATTACAACAGAGTTTGCATCATTGCCTCCATTGCCTCTGCAAGCTATGGATGAGGTACCTGAAAGAAAATGAGAAGTTCATACAGGTGTCTCTATCAACATAAAAACAAACAAAGCTTACTTTTAACTGAATAAAAGCTGAAATACCCTTCAAGATAAGCCACAACACCCATCGTGTCTTTTTCTAAACACCTCTGGAATGCTACAAACAGCATTTTTTATTATTTGTGAAGTGCCAGCAGCATACACCACAGTGATGCCAGGATGAAGACATGAGTAACTCACTTGTAAACCAGTACGAGTTAAAAAAACAAAGAACAAAGAAAAAAAAAAACCAAACAAACCAAGACATTTCTACATTTACACAGTTGTGGTTAATCACTTCTATTTCTTTGTAGTCACAATAGCTTGTGTATGTGATACAGAAAATAATTCATGCAAACTAATAAATCAGAGCAACAGCAAGGTAATGTCACTTAATTCTGAAGAATCCCGCATACTTCTGCTTCAAGTGAAGTTCAGGCTTGCATGAAATTAGAGTAAGTCTTACCTCTTCATTCTAAATTGACACTTACCCTCAATGTGTTTCACTGGCCTCCCTTGTACAGCTCCTAAGGGTTCCCTTTTATTTTTATGCACTTCCTGTTCTTCGAGACGTGAGAAAGAAGCGCATCAGATTTTGTTTATAGTACTTAAAGAATTACCAAAAACATATTGAAAAGGCTGGCTTCCTTTTAATGATCGTTTTTAAAAAGCAAGCTGACAGTATGTGTTATCTGTCATCTCGGCAGGTCTCGGCGCCCGCGGTGCGAGGACACACAGCGCAGATGGGAAACCTGGCACGAAGGAAGCAGGAG